TATAAACGCTTGTGTTGTTCCCTCTCTAGGGAGCCTCAGGGCATCATCGCGTGCTGTAACCCCACTCCAGCACTAGTGCGCCAGCAGATCAATGAGCTTCATCAGCTTCTCAAACAGGCTCGAGAGACTCCTTTACTCAAGGTGTGTGCTCAGACAAACACCAGTTAGCTCATAGACTCTTTCACTTCTATTATATCATTTGTAATTTTGCAGAATATGAAAGTCTAGACAGTATAAAATCAGTATTGACTAATAATGTTGTCTCTCTTCAGACAGAGGTACTCGCTGAAAAGAGGAAATCAATGACTCCTAAAAGAAAGGTGTGTTGATGGATATGTTCATCATTTTTCTGTGGATCCAAACAGCTGTATTATTGAGTTTATTTTGAATTGCCCCTTTTGCTGTTGTCTTCTAGCCACAGCCTACTTCATTCGGACCGCACGACATCTCCCGCTCGTCTGAAAGTGATTTCCTGGACCTTTCCTCCTTTGGTAGGTCTAGATATTGTGCAGACCTCACGAGTCTTAAATTGCCTTTGTGTTATTTTAAAACCACTAATTGATATTTTCTCTACATATGCATTTAGAAACTCCAATCAAACCAGGAGTTTTGTTTTCAGAGGAGGAGGATGAAAGCGTGAACCAAGAGGAGAAATCCTTGCACGGCCTGATAGCTTCAGCAAAAATCTGCCTCTTCGCGGTAGGACTTTTTAAAAGAAATTCTGAGAAACCTGTCTGTGTGTCTATCGTTTAGCATGTCTAGCGGAAGTTAATTTAGTAAAATGTTGAAACATTTGTAGATGTTAATGGTCTTCCTCTTCAGTTGGATAGTCTGTTTTGGGAGTGTTGAGGATGTTATGTGTCATTTGTGTTTGAGGAGGAGGAGGAGGCAGCAGCAGCTCCTGCTCATCTGACTGTGGCACAACAAAAAGCTCACAGCATCATGGGGTCCTTTGAGAACCCCTTCAGAATGGTACAGTACTTCAGTTTAGTTCATGGCTTTTGTCAAGTTGTGTTGTGAACTTACTTATTCACTGACATTTCAACACTCGTTTTCAGTATTTACCATCAAAGGACATTCACATATCCAAGAATGCCAAATATGACCCCTCTTCAAAGATTTATGAGGTATAGTTTTTTTTTTTTTCCCTCTTTATACATTTTCTTCTTTATATATAATTGTTTATATCCCTTTATGTATAATAATAATAATTATTATTATTATTTTTATATAATATATATTATATCCCTTTATATTAGGGATGCACGATACGGTACTGGTATCGGTATCGGGCCCGATACTGCGCTCCTGTACTCGTACTCGAAAAACAAACACTGAAAACAGAACAACAGAGAGTAGAATGGAGTTATTAGAGATTAAGGATGTCTATGAAGTACATGCAAGTAATTAATATAATGTTAAATATTCAATATTCACGCCTGTATTTCATGAATAATAATAATATGACATGTATACATGTCATATTATTATTTTGTTTCTGTACCCAATATTTAAAAAACAAAATTACAAATGCTGTGAAAATACAGGTATCGGTATCGGCGAGTACCAAAAATGAAAGTATCGGTATCGGACTCATTCTGAAAAAAGTGGTATCAGCGCATCCCTACTTTTATATATAAATTATATTTTATTATATATACATTTTAATAAATATATATTTAGTACCTTTTATATAATATTCTATAATAAGTTATTCTTAATATATAAAATGATTTATATTTAGGATTTATTTTATTTACTGTTTATTTACTATTTGTTTTTTATTTAGTGTATTTACTTAAGTAATAAATATTAAAATAAATTATATTGACCATTTATTAACATTTATTGTGAAGTTTTAGTATTGTGTATATAGTTTTTTTGTTTTCTTATAGCAATAATGTCTCCAGTTTGAATGGTTTTAAACCATTCTTAACATGACACACAGTGGGGATGTTTAGCGTTTCTTCTTTATGGCATGCTTTTATCATGTTTAAGCTTAACAGAACAGATATATGTTACAATGGACAGGAAATTTGACAACAGGTGTAGACAAATGTGCAGAAAACCATATAAATATGGGGTGTTAAGGGTGTGAATCTGAAGGCACCTATCAATCAGGGAGTCACAGATACTCCAAAATTATTCCCAGTGCAGTGAAGGGGTTCAGGTTAAATTGGCAAGTAAGCTTATATTGACTATTTTTGTTGTTCTGTTTAAAACAGATCCGAAACCGCTGGAAATTACAGAGTGTTGAGCAGCAGCAGGAGGAGGCGCAGGAGAAACGGCAAGCTAAAGAACAGGCCAAGAAAGCTCAAGGTACAAATAACAGCAGTTTTATAGAAACTCTGTGTAGTCTGAGGTTTCATTACACCATCTTTGTGATAATTTAATTGTGCATAAATGTTTGTGTCTGTCTTTCAGAGGAACGAAAGAAAGCCAAACTGAGCTACCAGGAGTCACTGCAAAATGTTCACACTGTCCGGCAGCAAGTAATGGTGAGGAAGCTTCAGCTCACCAACTGTATCAGCTGCATTGGATTATCTCTTCATTCTACACTCAGGTTTTGACAATCTTGTGTTTTTAGGAAGCAAAGCAAGCTGGACAGAAAAGAGAGAGAGCTGCCAGTGATGTTGCTGAAGAGAGTCTTAAGCCAAACATTAAAGTCTCAAAGACTGAAAGTGAGACATCGGTGGCTGATCAGTCGACAAAACCTGCTCAGAAAAAACTGAAAAAGAAGAATGTTCAAGAGCCTGAAGTTCCCGGACAAGACTTTAAACCTTTTGACTACAGCCAGTCAAATTTTAAAATATTCGCTGGTAAGACATCTGCCTTTTTTCTGTCGTATGTCATATGCGTTTGCATTTCTGTCATATGCATTTTGTTTTTCTATTGGTGTTTTCAGGGCACTGTCTTCATTGCTTGTATTTTTTTCCACAGGTAAATCAAAAGAGAGTTCACAGTTTGATCCAAACAGACAAGCACATGGACCCAAGCAGAAGGTATTAACCTGTTTTGAGACAAGCATTTACGGTTATAGAAATATCTGCTTGGTTTGATTTAGCTGTGCAAGATCACTGATTTTTAGCCAATTTTGATTCTCAGAAAAACCAAAAAGGACAGAAAAAAAGCGCTGTGGGTGGCAGGAGCATGTCTTATGTACCTGCCAAATCTGACCGGTAAAACACACACACACACACACACACACACACACACACACAGACAGACAGTTAGACTGAAGAAATGAATCACTGCCAGGGTAAAAAAACAAGCATTTATATGATGGGATTATTTCTGTTTGCAGAGGGATTCGCCCCAACTGGCCTAAGAGATAGAAGTCTTCAACTGATGGCTGACATTCCCCCATTTTTTTTGCCTTTTTAAAAGCATCCTTCATAACATTCAGATGTTCTGCAGAGAATTATCTGTCATGACCGTTTCAGCACAGCGTTGTGTGCTTGTATTCATATTAATTTGTGGTATTTGATCCGTCATTAAAATGAGATTTTAAAACCTTTTTCTCTCATTCTCTCGCTTTCATTAAAGTCTTCAATTATTTGAAGTTTAGATGTTTAGGATTTAATACATTTTTTCCAGAAATATTTTTTTGTAATACTGGTTGCTTTAGCCAGTGTGGAAAAAGAAATAAAGATTTCGGTACAGAACTTTTAAGCCAAAAGACGTGCCAAAATACACATATACAGACAACTAGAGTTGCAAAGGGATGGAACATTTCCGGAAACTTTCCAAAAATCCCTGGAATATTCCAAAAAAATCCTGGAAAGTTTCCAAAACCTTTGAAATGTTTCCGAAATGTACTGGAAATGTTCTACCTTTTTGCAACCCTACAGACAACAAAGTAAAACAAGGGTAAACTGGCAGTTTTTACAAGGGTTTCAATCGATGCGACAAACTTGTGGAGTTTCTTCTCTAAAGTTCAAATTAAAAGTATTGCGAATATGTTGGACCGTTCTTTGAAAGTAGTCCACGTTAACCTGCTGAGGCATGCTTCACGTTCATAACCCCGTAAGAGCCGTATTTGTGATGTTTGAGTCGTGATGGGAAAAAGGGTGTTTGTAAAGGTTTGAAACGCTGATCTGTTGATTTCATGCAGACTGTAAACAGTGTTTTTATAACAGAAACCTAAAGGACTTTTTGAGACATGAAAGTGTGCTTGTGCTAACTTCCTTTGAAAAATTGTCGTTTAATAATTTATCTTAATGACATTCAAGTGTCTAAACACTATCTATATATATGTGTATATATCCATCCATTGTGTGTATATACACATGTATATTTGCAATACCACAGCCTCTAGGTGGCACTGCAATGTAACCGAGCGCTACCTTTTATCATCAAACTACTGTGCCAATCATTCACTTTACTACATGTAGGGAAACATACAGCCTGTCAAGATTATATGAAATGGAAATCTTTAGTTCAAATGTCTGTCATCAAAGTCATGTGGAGGAGAAACTGGTTTTATGTAACAGATAAAAGTCCTTGAACTTCTCAAATCAATTTAGATTTTTAATATCTAAAGCCATTCTGAGAGTGCTCTCATTAGCACTACACGGTAAGAACATAGCTGGTATGAATATCCCCCTGCACAATGCATAACCCTTCACTTCCTGCTGCTCAAGACTGCGGTTCTTTTCTGAACAATAGGTGCAAAGACTTGACAGGAAACACCTCATTCAAGATGCTTTTGTCAGCTTCTACAAATACAAAGATGACCTTGTTTATTTAAAAGAACATAACTTATGTCGATATATCACAAGAGATAGTTCACCCAAGAATGAAAACTGGGGGGTTTCTAACCTTCATGTTGCTCCAAACCTGCATGACTTTGAACACAAAAGATGATCATTTGAAGAAAGTTGAAAACCAAACTGTTGCGATTTTTTGACCATACAACTAAAGTCAATGGGATCTGAAACTGATCTTTTGTGTTCCACAGAAGAAACTCAAACAGGCTTGGAATGACGTGAAGGTGAGTAAATGACAGTTTTCATTTTTTGGGTCTTTACTATCTCTTTAAGCGACCATATATATATATATTTACAAAGATTCACAACATTTGTGTCATAAGTCATAAATATGTATTTTGTTTGGCATTTTCAACAAAAAATGACATCAAACTCTCGGATACCATTGCTAAAGCTTCTTTGTGCTTCTTGTGACGTATCATTCTCTGATTGTGATCATATTTGTAATAAGCACGACACTGATAAAGTTCCAGAAAGTGTGAGTGGAGTGGAAATGGATGTGTGCGCCACCCAGTTGTGTTCCCCCTCCCACTCACACACCTCTCTGTCGTTCTTTCCTTCAGTCGTTTTCTCTTTCATGTCCGCCAGGAGCGCGTCCACACAGGAAACTGTGACATCTTTGTCTCCAGCACCCACTCTGGAAGAACAGCAATGAGTCAGTGCGCGCGTCCGGGAACTTCATCCGACACCGCTTTCACTCTTAAAGTTTTTACGCAGAAATACACGAATGAAAATAGATGCTTCGATGCATTTTGATTCATTTTTCGTTTCTGTAAAGTGTTCATCCCATATCACAGCATCAAGAGTCCAACGTCATTCAAACACTCGTCAAGTCTCATGATGGTCTTCCACTCATGTGTCCCAGAGCTGACAGCAGTCCTCACATTCCTCCGTCATGTAGAGGTACGAGTTAATGGCCTCCTTCAGTCCTTCGCTCACTAGAGAGTTCTCCGCACTGTCTTTACTCTGCCCGAAGATCATGGAGCTGCAAAGAGAACTCGTTTAGAAACCACTCTACTAGGTTTTGAAAAGATTATATTTTTTGGGATAATCGGTCATCATTTACTCACCCTCAAGTTGTTTCAAACCTGTATGAATTTCTTTCTTCTTTTGAAGAATGTAACCAAACATTTGATGGTTGCCATTGACTTCCATAGTATGGAACAATATATCCATACATAGCATGGAACAATATCATGGAAGTCTATGGTTACCAACATTCTTCAAAATATCTTCTTTTGTGTTCAGCAGATACTCAACTCATACAGGTGAGTAAATGATGACAGATTTTTACATTTTGGGTGATCTATCGGTTTAAAGTCACTTCATTTGTGACCATGCATTTGACGCACCTATTCACGTCTTTCCAGTTTATAGTGGGCCTCTTCACGGCAACCGGAGGCGGGCCGGTGACCACTGGAACATTGTTGGATCCAATGATGTAGCACGGCTCCCCCAGAGTACAGCACAGCCCGTCCGAAACTTCTGAGGGACAGTTCACACTTAAAATCTGGCACAACACTTACATTTCTGCACATTCAGCCAAACTATAGGTTGCTAAGGAGTTTTTGGGTGGTTTCAAGTACTATTTACTTAATGGTGCACTACATAATCGACTTTTATTTTGGCTTCTGACGATACAACAGTGGTCTTTGACTACTGACATCTATCAGCGTGGGTACAGCATCAAGTCTGTTAGCTGTAGAATTGCCATATTCTCAGCCATTTTTGTCGCCCACAATTTTTTTCAACCACTGAAAATATGAAGTATCAAACAGGTTTTTATAGGCACTGACTGGAATTCACCTGTCGTGTGAGTCCACTTGATTTAAACATTTCCTCAGTCAAAACTATTAGTCAGTATCATGTATGACAGGGCTGGGCAGCTTTGGTCCTGGAGGGCCACTGTCCTGCAGAGTTTAGCTCCAACCCTAATCAAATACACCTGAACCAGCTAATCAATGTCTTCAAGATCACTGGAAAACTACAGGCAGGTGTGTTTGATTAGGATTGGAGCTAAACTCTGCAGGACAGTGGCCCTCCAGGACCGAAGCTGCCCAGCCCTGATGTATCACATCAGTATCAAACACAAACCCTGCAACATCACATACAATCACTGGGTGTCAGTAATGACTTCCTGGCTGTATCTGTGTGTGAGTGTGTGTGTGTGTGTGTGTGTGTACCTGAATAATGTGTGACCAGGTCTGAGAGGGTCCTGAAGGTGAGTCTGGGAGAGATGTAGACCCAGCCGTTCTCAATGCAGCTGATACGGTAGTGTTTGACAGAAGCGCGCTCCTGCGAGCTGCTCTTACGCACTGACAGAGTGTGGTTACCTGGGTTTAAAAAAAAAAACAAAAGAAAACGTGCATTAATACAAACTTGATTTGACATTTTCTGTAGTTCTGGGTAGTTTCCAGTGTGCTGCTATGCAGTATTTGTTGCGGAATGTTGCTGTGAGAAAACAGCAGTTCAGAAAGCATCTGATCAAAGCACTGTGGATATGTTTGGAGTAACTCAGTAAATTGTAGGAAAATACTGGTAATATATCCATTATTAGTGTGCATGTACCTGGGTAGGTCTCACTCTCTCTGATGAGGAAGGAGCCAGGCTGATTATGGGGGAGCATCAGCAGTTCCTCTGCTTTCGGTTTACTGAGACCCACAAACTGCCACCTGCACAAACACACACACACACACAGATGAGTGACAGAATCAAGAGTAGAGATGAAGGAAAGAGTAGTAGGTAGAGGGTCACTGTAGGTACAGCACGTCCCCAAACTGATAATCAGATCACACTGTACCCAGCTGAGCCCACTCTACAGAAACTAAAACTGACACCGCCTCGGGGGGGGGTAATGATGATGTCACTTATGGGACACACTTGAACAGACCACCTGACTGTGGGTGTGATGTCATGATGCACACTCTAAACCAATAGGAGGAGGCGGTTTTCAAAGCACTCCAGCGTGTGTGTGAGTTCAGCTCACCTGTTGTACACTTTGGCGGTGTAATTGCTGGGGATGTAGCTCTCATTTCCTGTGGCTGATGAACTGACTTTCCACCACTCTCCCTCACTGTAACACACGTTATATCATCAGATAATCATCCCGTTCAGACAACTTCCTGTGATGAGGCACCATTGTGCAACAGCACACTTACTCTGACAAAATGTTGAGCCTCTCTCCCACTCGGATGGCGCAGTCACCCGGACCTCTGGACGGATAGTCGTACAGGGACACCACCACAAATCTACCACTGTCTGCAGATCAAAGAACATAACACTTTCAGTCCTGTTGGTTTAGCATAGAGCACCTCAACAAGCCACATGATTAAAAAATGTCATTTTTAAAGAATAAAATTCTTTTATATGCAATTTTAAAATGTATGGTTTTTGGAAATATGAATTACATACATATAATTTAGTTTTAATGGGTGTAATGTTTATAAAATAATGCTTTTTGCAAGTTAAAATATGAGCCACTTTACAACTGACGGTGGCGAACAATTCTATGGCTTTTCCAAAAGTCTTTGAATTAGATTTTATTTTTGCATTTTCCGTTTTCACTTTCATTTTAGTTAAAAGTAATTTTGTTTGTGCTTTTGTCATTCTTTATTAATTTCTTTTTTAAATGTCAATATAGCTTTTATTAAGTTTTATCATTTAATTTTAGTTTATGTAGTTTGAGTTATTTTACTAAAACTAAATGAAAATGATTATTTGAATCAATGAGATTTTTTTAATGGTTTCATTTTTCGTTAATGATAATAACCCTGCGAATCACATTTTATTTATACAGCACTGGTTCTTAAACTTATTTATGTTATCAGTTATGTACATTAGGGTGGTTTATGCTTCATTTGATCTTTTATCATGTGTCTGAACCTGTGCAAGTCTATATACTGTACGAGTATCGGTCATGTTTTATGGACAAGCCACTTATGATGAACTGATTTATCAGACGGATTTCTATTTTACTACCAGTATTATTATGGTGGTTGTATACCAGTATTTTAATTTACAAATCAGATTTTAGTAGTTCAAGTGGACTGAACTGATGTACTAATATTTGATCAGTTCATAAAATATACAGCTGCCATTCTGTAATACCTAAAACACTGTCATTGTATTTTTTTTTTTTACAATAAATTTAAGATATTTACAGTCTATCATTCATGTTCATAACAGTGTAGGACAAGTTATGCACTGAAATTCTTACCCTTAAGTATGAGTGCTAGTAAAGCACCACTGAATGCTATAGTTAATAAATATTAAAAATTGGCTTGTGAATACATACACACATCTGAATGAGCTTCACTATTGCACTTATTTGCATGTAAGTGCTGCAGTTCTGAAATCGCCTTGTGCATATATGAAGTGTGTATTGCAGTGCTGAACTCACCCATGGTCAGCAGGTCAGTGCTTTCCTCCGTGTCCAAGAGAACAGCATGTGAGCTGGATCCACGCCGGTCTTTACTGGGCCGACTGCCCATGCTGCTCTGGAGAGTTCAGGCACACAATGCTGATGGGAACCACAATCTAAGGACAGAAGAGCAAGAATATGTTTAGCATTGTTTGATTTGTATTAATTTAGGTTTTTCATTAAAGTAAAAAAACAAAAATCTAATGTACAGTTTGATCAGGCCTTTCTTCTGTCACACTTTGAACGTTAAGAGGAAGGATGCTGACAAACCACTTGTGTACTTGGATGAAAACTTTCCATCTGCACTTTCAATATCACACACTTTACCTTGGGCAATAAAAAAAGTGGTTGTTCTAAAAATAGATCTGGTAAAATGCTGAGAACGTTCTACTATTTTCTGTCATGCTCAGTTACATCACGAGCCGCAGTTATTTAAGAGATACATGTGCGCATGAATAAAAAACATATACAGCAAATTCAATAGATTAAAATGATTCAGTATGCAAATAACAGGTCAGCTATTAGCTAAAATGAAACCATAATATAATGTGACTCATATTCTCATATGACTCTTATATTACGATGAAGCGGCAGTAAAGTGCCGAGGTTGAAAAATGATCACTGTAAATCATTTAAAGGAAATCTGAACAGGATAGTCTGATCAAAACAAACTGCTTATTTGGCAAGAACATTTATGCATAATTGTTTTTCATTGCTAAAATACCATCAACATATATATCTACCTTTTTTAGTATTTCTACATCTATAATTCTTATTACACGTTATAACATTGTAATAGCACTTATTGCATTGTACAATTACATTGTAATAACCATGTAGCTCAATCCCTGCTATGAATAATTTGAGTAAACACGCATGTCGTCACCGGCGCTATAATTTCAACACCCTCATAATAATGTTCAATTAGCATTCACTAGAGATCTTTTTCTATATCATACTGTAATGCAATGGCAGTGGTCTCACAGCTATATTGTATTATGGAGCAGATGGTCACCTGGTACCACAGATGGGTCTCAGTAGGTCATCAGGGTCTCCAGGTCCAAATTACAGACCTCATACCCCGGGCACCAAAATAACATGTGCGTAACTGATTACATGACCAACATATGAACACAGCTACACTGGAGGACATCATACAGGCTTTAACCGCACGATCACACACAAACGAACAAACCTACCACTAAAGGGCAGCCATTTAAAGACATATTCTACATTTTTGAATTATGTTTAACATTATATCTCATGGGTGCACCTCTGTTAAAAAAATAAATAAAATAAAAAGATTTTTCGAACTTGTAGATTATTGGAGTACGTTTTTCAATCGTTCTACTTGAAAATTTTAATTCAGAGTGGTACTTGTTGTTTCTTCGAAATTGCTAGAAAAATTCACAAATAATTTCGGAGTAAAAATGGTTTCACCACCAACATTTTTTTTTCTTAGTGTATGGGGATAAAACATGTGTTCAAAGATTAGAGCAAGGTTACTAACTTCCTGTTGCAACTGCAGCGCTGAATGTCTTTTTTTCGCAGTATTTAAGCCATTTAATACATCTTTAAGAGTTCTCAAGTCTGAACTATAAACTTGTTGCTAGAAAGGTTGTTAGAAAGTATCATACCAAACGCATTTCAAGAATCACAGCAAACACATTTCACAACAAAAATGTCTTTGAAATGCCTTTTGAAGCAAGGCGCCTATGCATGCGCACACTTTTCAAGACGATTCCGACTTTGATTCAAGATTACGACTTTGAGGTTTGGAGCTCCTTGTCAACGTTTCACAATAACGTTGATTAAAAAAAATACTGTTATGTGACTGGTCTATTTTTTAGACCAGTCACATAACAGTATTTTAAAAAATATTTTTATATCTTTTTTTATATTTTCCTTACAAATTTTAACCAAAAATTGTATTTTAATTACTATGAATCTATATTCACTTGTGAACATTAAACATGATTTTGCACTGTCATATTGGGCTTTGGATAAACCTCCTAAATGAATAAAAGCCCACCACACTCTGCCTTAAGACCTTAAAACGAGAGAAATTTGGACAAAGTCTCTTACTCACCTCATGGTCCTCAGGCTAACAACGATGACAATCCTTCCTTATGAGCGAACCGATCCCCTCACCTGCGCGTCTGCTTACGAACGTGTGCAAAAGGCCTGAAAACTCAGATGGCCAAGTTAGAAAGCTATTTGGAGTGATATCCGTAAAGATGAGAGGCTAGTTTTCTTGAGGAGCTGAGGAGCAGTAGTTGAGCTCAGTTTCAGGTGAAGTGTCACTGTGGGATGCTGCTGTGGTCGTCTCAGTGTTTTAGCATTGCACACTGTGGCAGGAAGCTTTATTTACTAGACACTTGTAGTTTCCTGTGACGAACAGGTCTAACTGTCACTCCTTTGCTGACGCACAGATGCCTGACAGCGAGAACAGACTGGAGAAGGTGTTTTGCAAATGTTCGAGCTGTACTAATACACAACACAGATGTTGGTGGAGATGAATGTCGTGAGCTCATTGATGCAGTAATACAGACGCCAACGGAAGTAGCTCCAGAAATGTCAGGAAGGTTTCAGAAAGGTTCAGAAATTGTCTAGTGCTGGTTTTTGCATATATTAATTTCACATATTCCTAAATGTACCAAAACCAATTGCCATAGCAATAAGTGTCATGGAAACTAAATCATCTGGGTAAAGCTGTAAAACAAGTCTTGCTACAAATAATGACAACTCATTAACATTTTAAACTCTGGCTGCAAAAAGAGAGAGAGAGAGAGAGAGAGAGTGAGTGATTTAAAGCACTCTTAAATTGAAATTGAGAGAGAGAGAGAGAGAGAGATGCACAATTTGTGCACTGGAATTCATAAGTTCAGTGTTTCACAGATGCTCGCACATTAGACATTTAGGCTATGTTCGCAAGACAACGATTGTTACGGAAAAGCTTTTTCTTTGATATTTTGTAACGTTTTGCATACAGACGACAACGTTGTGAAAAACATACCCGTTCACGCAGATCTGCGAAAACGACTAGAAACACTGTATTATGCATGCCAGGCCAGTAGATGGCGATGTCACTTGGTAAAGAAACACTACATGTCTGCGCACATATGCATTCATATAGACTAAACACGTGATATGAATGCGCATGACAGTGCTGTTTTCACAAATTTAGCACATTTTTTTGTAGTGCACACAGAAATACATTTCCAAAAACTTGCACTTTGAAATCGGTTTTCAAAAGTTTGCATTTTCAGGCTCCCAAAACGCTGTTGTCGTGTAATGAACAGCTAAAACGTTTAAAAAGTTTTCCATTTTAATTTGAAAAGGGTGTCGCATAAAGTGATACCGCTGAAGATGTTCCGACGTCAATTCCCATGACAAATGGACTAAGTTAATTATAGTTGTAGTAGGCTGTCATCCTACCGGGTTATCAAAGTTCACTATGCACCAATTTCAGATGAGAAGCAAATCAGCAAATCTGTACGGTAAGTGAAAATGACAAACATAAATGTTGAGTTGATCTAGTTGAGTGATCATGCACAAAATGACATTGTACAAATCTCTTATCAACTTATCTTTTCTGCTGCGGTCAATGTTGTGTTAAGTGATTAAAGTGCGCATGCCACAGTTTCTATAAATAGCTTTCAGATGTAATCTCGGACCGCATGCGATCAATACAACCTTTAAACTTGCTTGTGATCGGAAACTTTCACAGCTGGCTGAGATGACAAAAAAAGGGCTCAGTGTGATGGGTAGTGCACAGAAGTACATGTTGAGCATCTGATTACCAGTGCATGAAATGGTGCTTTGAAGTGATTTGGGTCATGTCATACTTTGTTCTTCCCTGAGGTCCAACTATAACATTAGCAAAGGTTTTATTGGCCCCAAAGTATGATTTGGCATTCTTTGACTGTTTTCTACATTCTCCCAGCTCCATAAAGCTCCAAAAATGAAAAATCCGTTATTTACACAACCTCATGTCATTTCACAACTTGTATGACTTTCTTTCTTCTACAGAATATATAGTTGATATAGGTCTTGTATAGAAGACATACATAGGTCTTGTGAGAGATTTAGGGCCATTTTGTTTCCATAACTGGAAAAAATGTTTTAGATTTCAATTACAATACATTTATTTGTTTGTTTGAGTGAAGTCTCCACTTTATCAACACTTACATACACCAGTCTTTCCAGTTTTATTCCTATCTATATTCAGAAAGTTATTTTTTTTTAAGACTTTATTCCTAAAAATAATATTTAAGTTTTTCCTTTCTTTCCCTCTTTCTAAGAGCTATCCAAAATCTTTAATAGATTTAATCTTTAAAAAAAACTTTAATATGTCAACCAAATAAAATTATTTTGAACCTGCTTTATCCAAAGTTCAGATTTCTGTTCAGGAAATTTAAGCAAATTAGTGCATATTTAATTATGTAATGGCTCATTTGCAAATACAAACTTAACATTTCATAAATTTTGTTTTACAAAAATGTACACTTCTCTTGAAGTGTCTTGACTTAACAACTTGCCTAATAAAGACAGATCCAAATTTTATGTACAACTACTTTATTTCAATATTCGTACAAATCGATATACCCCGCAGATAATATGCAGTACAGCGCCCCCTAAATGCTTGGAGGACAAAGCACAACGCATCATCACAAACTCACTCAAGGCAGCGGTACAATCAGCAAATCAGCAGGGAATTGCCATCCAATGAAATAAAGACCAAGAACAATAAAACTTCAGAATCTAACAGAGTAGTCAAAATAATAAGAGGTTATTGGAACATCAGCCCGCTGTACAGAAGGAATGGAGAATCTTAAGCCAAAAGCATACACATCATTTACCAGTTACTACTGTACAGTGCATTTAGAGGAATAATGCTGTTATACCTCTAGATGCCCTCTATGGTAAATTGAACAAGCTACAGGACTTAGTTTCAGCTACTGGCTTGTTTGGTGTAGCTGATCTCCCAAGCACAGGCTGTGAAACATATTTTACATCAACTTAAGTGCAAACCTAAGCAAAGTCTTTGCTATTAGGGGGGTTCTGGTCTAAAACTCAGTACAAGTTCTCCATGTAAACAGAATCAGATTGATCAAACTCAATCAAACTGAATTAAACATTTGCAGTAAGCTCGAAACAGAATTAATACTAACATAAATGTCTACTGTACACTTTAAATAGGGACATGCTAATCAGTAGATTTTTTTTCTAGAAGCACTACAAATGGCAGACAGTCAATTAATGCAAAACCATGATAGCCGATAGCACAAGTTGAGAGCAATAGAAACCCTCTAAAAGAGACCGAAATCAGTCTAGAAAATGAAGTACTGAAGAAAAAATTAGATAAGGAGAAAGTGAAGTGGTTTGGTCATCTCTATAGTAAACACGGGGCAGGAAGACCTTAGAGAGAGCAAGAGAGGGAACGAAATCTCTCCGGCTACAGATGAGAATACCCTCTGAATTTTCAAAATACAACAGCCTTCAGCAAAATATATACACAAGAAGCATATCCAGAGTGGAAATGAATCTCTAAAGGATGACACAAATATGGAGCAATAAAGTAGTAAGCCAATCAAAATCAAGGTAAAAACATCAGCAAAAGATTAGTGTGCTTCCATGCAGTGGAAAAATATTCCAATATGTAAAATACATGGATTACATCAAACAATGCATCCCTTCATTAGACCAGCGCTCTCTGGCCACAAGAGAACAAGTAGAACGAGAGACAAGAGTGGAAACAAAACCCCAAAATAGACAGAAAGCCGCCTGAGGTGCAGAAGGGCAACACGCGGATGGATCCCAGGTGAAATGGTGGCTTGGCTCTGGGTGCTTTAGCAGGACACCTCCATGGTTTGTGGTCTGGTCTGGTTGTCGTTAACGGGGCCGCCGGTGGCACCCTCCATCTGTGAACTGGTATGTGCGCGGCTGCGGGAGCCGTCTGCCGAGCCCATGCTGGAGGCAGAGTGAGTGCGAGATCGAGCCAATCGGGTCATACTGGCAGTGGGCACTGAGAGAGAGAGAGAAGAAAGAAATCGAATGGAGGTGAAAACATGTATGCACTAATGCTGCTGCTGCTTTTGACTGAGGCATAACTGTTGGCACGATCCTGAGTGAGGGGCATGTGCTTCACAGGATAGCCAGTTTTGCACTCTCAGCATTCGGATCCAAACATATGAAGAGCCAGGAAAGGGAGAATAATGAGTCTCCTCAAAGTCTCCTGCACATCTGCACACTGCTAACTGTTCAACTAATGCTGGACTGACTGAGATACATTGACAATTTAGTTTATGGTTAAGGAGAATAGTAAGCTGAATCCCAATTCACATACTTCTGAAAGGACGTACAGCATTGACAGAGATCTGCAGCAAAAGCGTGAATGGATTTCAAAACAGATTCAATTAAATTCTGATTCATGGGGTGTATTTTATGTATTAAAAGGCCATTTGAATGAATAGTGCCACAGAGAGAGAATTTCATATTGTATTTCAGACTGATTCAACTTATATTAGTCTCTAAGGCACCAACACAGAACGACACATGCATCTATTTGTTATGACTGCAATGCAAAGGTTCAAAAGAACACGGGAGTCAATTTGTGCAAGCAGAAATTAGAAATAAATTATCTCTGCTTGCAGCGCGTCAGTCATGCTTGTCAGGAAAGCGAGTGAGTAAACATGAATACACAGTTTGACTAATTTATGGGTCATTAATAGTAGTTCACTTCTGTGATTTTGTACGATTGCCTTCACATCAGAAGAACCGTACCGGAGTTCGCATGAACTGTACCCTGTACGGTTCGCCAGTGCACATGTGAGTTCAGAAAACAGCGATCTGAACTCTGACGTCAAATAAATCCAGGTGTGCACCAAAAGTGCTAGTGTGATAGACACACTATATCACTACTTGTGCACCGCAATTTGTGACTTTGTTTTTGTATATTATAGTGGAAGAACAATATGAAAACTGGGATTCAGCCATAGTTACCCTAAGAGCGAAGTCTTTTCTGAATACTTGGGCCTAAATAGAGTGCTGAAGGGATGACACATTTTGTAGGACAACCTGGAAGTAGCATCACCCTGGTTCCCTCGACAAATCCAATAGGATTTTTCCATCAGCTTTTGGATTATTGCAGAAAATAACCTCTGTGACCAACACAAATTCATGATTCTTACACTTTTTTCCCCCATCAAGATAATCTTCACAAACATACGCAACATTAATTAATTTTGACGCCTAAATAAAATCTGCACAAGAAAAGCTAAAGTTGGGCCATATTAGTGAACTACACTATGGCTGCAAAACTTCAACAGCAAATCTCTGAATCCTGAGGTGACACAATCCTGCTTGGACACTGCACTCATTATTCTCCCATGAAGGAAAGAGAATCCTCTGGTCAGGATCCAGCTCAAATTCATTTTTACCATTGCAGCAAAATGAATAGTCAACTTCAGACAATGCAGAATGTGGCATGCAAAGTAAAGTTATGTTTCTATGTGAATCTTAAAAAGAATAGAATAATACATATGTTGGTAGTGGACAGTGTGCACAAACACATTCTCTCAGAC